ACACACAAACGCACACACACACACAAACATACGCACACAAGCACACACACACAAACACGCACAAAAACATACACACACACAAACATACACAAACATACACACAAACAAACATACACACACAAACATACACAAACATACACATATGCACACAAACATACACACACAAACACACACACACACACACGCACACACACACACACACACACACACACACACACACACAAAGTGGCATAGTTTCGTAACTGAGGCTAACTCCTTCCTGAATTAACATAGAAAAAGCTGGAGAAGAGAGGATTTATTCCAGCATTCGTTTGGAGATAAAAGAAAAAGTATACAGCGCCATTTTTGTAAGTTTTAAATGCGATTTTTCCATTTTAGTTTCGTTTTTTTGAAGATTTTTGTAAAGAAATCCGAAAACTGCGAATTGATTTTCATTTATTATTATTATTATTATTATTATTGTTGTTATTATTATTATTGTTGTTGTTGTTGTTAATATTTGTTGAACAGGTGCTTTATATGATGTCCGTTAATAAACGAGAAAATTAAAGAAAAAGGTAGGTAAACAGTGGGCAAGATAAAGAAAGACAGATAAAGAGAGGAGGATTTAAAGGGGGGAGAGAATGAGTGGGGGAGGCAAAAGCGAAAACGAAAGAGAAAGACGAAAGAGAGAGAGAGAAGCGAAAGAGTGAGTATGAGAGAGAAAGAGAAGCAGAGAGAGAAAGCGAGATAAAGAAAGAAACAGATAGAAAGAGAAAAGAGAAAAGGGAAGATAAATGGTTATAAAGATTGAGAGAATGTGAAAGAGAGAAACGAATGCGAAAAAGTAAGAGAAAAACGTGAGAGAGAGAAAAGAAAAAGGCAGAGAATGAGAGAAAAATAGAAAACGAAAGAAAGAATGCGAGAGCCGAAAAGCGATAAAGAAAGAGAAAGGCAAAAGGAGAAGTGAAAGAGAGAGAGTGTGAGAGAAAGAGAGAGAGAGAGAGAGAGTGAGACGAAAGAGAGAAGATGGAAAAGAGACTAAAAGGGAAAGAGAGCCGAAAAAGAGACATAGAGAGATAGATTGATTAGGACAAATAATGAAAGAATCTGCGAGAGAGAGAGAGAGAGAGAGAGAGAGAGAGAAAGAGAGAGAGGAGAAAGTGAGAAAGCGTGAGAGAGGGATGAAGAAAGAAAGCAGGAAAAGCAACCAACGACGCTTGCACATAAATACAAAAATAATATTTAGCAAACTTAGTCTAGTTAGATGCAATGGAATATAGAGAAAAATAATTGATCAGAGAGACTTGCATTTCTTAAAAATCAGCTTCGAAAATCCCAGATTTTTCTTTTTTACTTGAAATCGAATCCGGAACACTGGTGCCAACGGAAGATGCGCAACTATTCCAGCCATTGAGCAGGGTAAGCATCTATGTAAATATGTTCGTAGATACATGATCTTTTGCCCTTTTCTATTTCTTTCTTGCATCCACAGAGACATAATAGAATAAGTAATGGAGATGTCGGAAGGGCTCAGGTATAGAGAGTTGAAGTAACCTAAGTTCTCAGATCTCAAACGTGAATACAAGCATTGTACTGAATGACCAACGCAAAGCATCCTTCCTTTTCTCTTGTGTGGGAAGAAGAAAAAGAAGATCGGCGGATGTCCGGTGAATAATGGCCGCCATGTCAGATTGGCTCATCGTAGCCGCACATCGCATACCGTGTTTTCTTTCAAAGGCGACGTTTCCAATGAATAAGGCCATTAACTCCAATTCTTCAACCAGGTTGCACGAGGGGGAATATTTGAACAAGTTTAGGTCTCACTGCTAACGAGAATTACATTAACTACCTTTCTGATAATTCTAACTAAAACATGACTTGTAGGTTTTCTGTATTTACCTTTTGTCTATTAGTATTTTTGAGACACTTAAACGGATATTGAAGAACTACCAGATTTTTAGCTTCTGCCTGGGACAGAGGAAAGATTCATTTAGTTGTCTGAGATTGTGCACAGACACAAAATCTATTATACTCCGAAATCAAAGTTTCAGAACAAGTGCGTATATTATTTAAGATTTGTAAGGAATAGAATATATATAGAGAGAAAGGTTTGTCAAATTCAACTGATAAAGTCTGTCTTTTGAAATTTGATTATATTTTTTCAATTTTCGAGCATGTTTTTGCACTTCTAAATCAAAATTTTGGCTAAAATGTCCACAGTGCAGTTTTTTTGGTCGTGTACATTAAACCATCTCAGTCATTATCAAGAACTGAATGTTGTCAATATGGTAGAGAAGACATTTTTTTTGTTAATATCATGAGATTTTTGGAATGCTTTTATTCACATTCAAATATTCGTCAATCATATAAGCGTTGTCATGCGTAGAATGGTTCACTGATCTAGAAACTAATGTTATGTGGCTCATTAGGCTGATTGGCCAATGGACTCTTCGCATTTGGTTTCTCACTTGTCTTCTTAGGCAGCGCTATGCAAATGAATCTATTAGATCTTCCGCTATCTCACTACTGTCTTATGTTAAATAAAATAAAACACTACACAATACTGAGGGAAAACGGTTAAATTTAGGAACATTAAGATTGCCTCCTCAGTTATCCATTAAAACTGCTATTCACCGAAAAAAAAGGAAAAAAAGTCAGTCCCCACCGTGGGCCATTTAAAAGATATTTCGCGCAGCAAATTGGTTGTTACAAACATCCAATCAGGTGTGCGGAAAACATGGTCTTTCTTCGTCTAATTCATTAAAAGGCCAGAGTAGCTGTTAGCGTTTGATTGAGAGGGGGAATCAGGAATTGATCTCCCCTGATTGGGTTGATTTGGTGATGGGGAGTATGATGTTGAAAGACCCGAAACTCCCTGATGAACCAAGTGAAATACCATCACTGACGACTCCCTCGGGCACCTACTTAAGAGTATTTTTTTAAATTATTTTAATTAATTATTATGTTTGTAACTAGGTCATTGTCGAAATCAACTAAATCTGCCAGCATCTCTATTCCTTCTACTGGTCCTGTTGCTTTATTCCTGGTCAATTTGGCCCCTGGCTGCTTTCACTTCAACTTTAATATTCTTGTTTTGACATATTTTTCTCTATAGCAGGTTATCTTCTTTTCTTGTGGAAGAAGTCTTCGATATATTCGTTCCATCCTTGAAGTATTTTTCTTAACTTTTTAATATTTTATTATTGACATTATTATCCATTTGTTAGATTAAGTTTTGAACCGTTGTATCCTAGAAATGATTAAAGATATCTTACTGGAATTCTCCGAGGTTTTTATAATTTTATTGGACTCTACTTTGAGCAATAAGAATGTATAATTACTCTCCAAGCTTAACAGAAGTATCGTGACGAAATCGTTCATAAGCTAAAATGACATTTTCCTCATTAATTAATAATGATAACTAAGGATCGGAAGTTCAAATATATATAAATATATTATTCCAAGATCATTTTCCAATTTATTCAAGATGATCGTCGCCCTCTCTTATTGTCTAATTTACCGTCCTGGAGTAACAAGTTGCCTCAAAGGTTCCACTTACGATTTCATTTTCAAGTCTTTTTTCATTGATCTTTTTTAATTGATCACTTTAGCTCTAAGTTGAAATGATGAGATCTCCCTTCCTGTTGTGACATCCTGATCCAGGTGTTCTCTCTACTGTTTCCTGTTCTTTAAACTTATTTACCGTTCTCATGATGGCGATTGAATGGACTTTGAAGATGGAAGCGAGAGTGTGAATGTTGGTACCATAACTGAAGGCTTGAGTGTTCATATTCCTCACATCATTGCTCAGTTGGGAAGACAGTGGGGCGGACGGTTTAACCTGTTCTCTTTCAAGCTGAACAACTCAAAGGGTTTTTCAGTGATTTTTACAAATAGTGTCAAGAAGACTAAACGTTTTATCTGAAAACCTGGAAAAAAGAAACTTAAATAGTTTAGTGTTTTTTATTTTTAGATATTAAACAATTTGTGGGATTGACAGTTATGCTGTAACACGATTTGGACAACTTTTCTGCTTAACCGGTACATCTATCTATCTATCTATCTATCTATCTATCTATCTATCTATCTATCTATCTATCTATCTATATGTGTCTAATCCGATATTTGTATTATTTATGTCACTGTCCACTATAATAAATTTTGAAGAATATATATATATATATATATATATATATATATAATAAAAAATTGGTCTGAAGAGATCAATATTAAAATATTCATGAAATAAATTATAACGATATATATATATATATATATATATATATATATATATATATATATATATATATATATATATAACAATAAACCTACACAAACAACATATACAAGTACAAATATGTTGAAAAATCAAAAGGAGATTTGTTAAGTCCATCACCTCATGTCTTTGAAGATACACACAAAATACATCTGGCTCATACTACAAGAATCTAATCAAAATTTAAACAATATTCATTCATAAAAAAAGAAGAAATTTCTTGATTTACTCGATTACTTTTTGCCAACTTTGAATTATGTCACTTTGTGTTCCCCACTCTGACATTTCCACCAACTGATGAATATTCATGAATGTTATCAAATTTAGAAGCTTTGATAAACCAATTACGTCCTCGCTTTGCTATATGAATACGTGCAAAAGATTATTATATATATATATATATATATATATATATATATATATATATATATGATTTTTCAAGCATAGCTTAGATGTGACACAAGGCCGAAATTAGGGGCACCCAGTGCAGTGGCGTACCTAGAGTAAACGTCACCCGGGCGGTCCGCTAAAAATGTCACCACAATGACCCCAATTCACCCTATGCTGAATGGTTAGCTGTAGCTAAATTTTCATACATGCTCTACCTCTACTTTACTCTATTGACCGGTACGTTACTGTTTACATGTATGATCCAAGACAAAATCCAATACCACAAAATAATCAGTTAAAATCAAAAGATTTTTAAAATGCAACTGTTGACTTTCAGAACAACTAAATACAAAACACAGCAATAGACAAAAGAATGACATTCGATACTATGGACTTAGAATGAATGTTTTCTTGTTTTCATTGTGGCAAACTGGTCAATGACATCGTCAAAATCTGTTGGTCTTGTAAGCTCATTTTCAATGGACAGTACAGCCAGATTCCACAGTCTCGACTGGCTCGTGGTTGACGTAATTTTCTGTTGCTAATTTTCTGGTGTCCAATTTTCCGTTGCATCATTTTCTGGGTACCATTTAATTATCAATGATGTTTGAAAGTATTTTTCTTGACAAAAATGTTCTATTTAATTTTTAAGCATTTTTCGGAACATTGTAAATCAACTGCATTCTTTTAAAAGTTACCTAGAGAATTTATGCAAAGTTTATTATTTTTATTTTTCTTTATACAAGTAAAATAAATTTACATCGTATTTTGATGTTATTATGATTTTAGTTTTAGTGATAATTTAAAAACAATAATTATTTAAGAAAGCTGTGTAAGCAAAATTCTTAATAGTTAGTTAAAGAATACCAACCTAAGAGTTATCTCGGCTTGAACTCTCAAAATATTATATTTCAATTTTTGAAATTTGCTGAGAAGGTAACGCAGATATTAAAAAGATTAGAACAATTAATTTAATTTTTCGCCCTTTTCAAAGCAGGTTTACCCAACCATGTTTATTTGAATGCAGGGGAACAAATTGTGTTGATTTGGATTCGGATTTATAGCATGTTGTCCACTACGTTAAAAATTGCATAAAAAGCGAATAAATCGTTTCATATGGTTTCATGGCATTGGCTTCTTCTGTACGATGGTCAAGCGACGTCGGACAAATCATTGGCTAGACTCTCAATTAAGAACGGATTATTTAATTTGAATTGGTTTTCTTGTTACATCAAAAGGAGTTTAATATTAGTTAATGATACGCAAAGATGGCATGAAACGACTGTCATTTTTATTATAACATGACTGTTATTTAGTCGCCTCTTATAAACATTTGAATCAAACCGACGAACAGATTTCACCAGAATGATATCTATCTATCTATCTATCTATCTATCTATCTATCTATCTATCCCAGTCTGATCATATCTATCTATCCCAGTCTGATCATATCTATCTATCTATCTATCTATCTATCTATCTATCTATCTATCTATCTATCTCAGTCTGATCATATCTATCTATCTATCTATCTATCTATCTATCTATCTATCTATTCAAGAAATGGTGTTAGCATCATACTCTAAAGTACAAGCTTAATTAAACAATTTTGGAGCAATTTGATTTGAAATTGTCACAAGTAAATCGACATATACACTTTTATTAATTTAAAGTATTTTAATTGTTTCATCCATTGTATGATTTAATTAACTTCAATAGATGACAAAGAAATAAATTGTGATAATATCACTGTGGCATAATAAAGAAAACTCTTTATCTAATTTCTCTGATTATGGTAGGTAAGTACTTCGATTTCTCCTGCCGGAGTTCTGCAGCTTTCTCGAGGAATTTATGCATTAAATAATGTCGCATACCTCATCTCTCAGGCGTTTTCATGTAATAAAGAATATTCTGTAAAAATCCCTGCTAACTTTTTAGTTAATCGAACTAATTTTCTATCAAAGGCTCCATAAATATTCATATTCAGACTCGTGTATTATTAGGCCAGCACACTTCAACATTAACAACTATACTTAGATAAAGACAAAAACTGATTACATGTTAAATAGAAGAACTACTGAAATAAAGAATGGAAAGAGAAAAAAAAAATGATGTGTATGCCTGATTAAAATAAAATCAATTGAATGAAATTGGATAGAGAATAAAGTACAGGTTCTTTCACTTTCTTTCTTAACTCAAAGACTAACGCGAAGCGATACATTTAATTGGCGGACATTGAAGAGTCATTGAGAATTATCAATTATAAATTCTTGAGAAGTGAATAAGATTGCAAACGCAAGTTCCGAGCCAAGAACAGGTTTCCAACGACTCGAGCAGCTATTGATTTTAAATATCTGAATCTCATCGAAAATCACTGATTGTCTAGTTACGCCGCCACACCTTATTTATTATACGTGTGCTTCAGTTAAAGACTTCGTTATGAAATCGTAACATCATAAAATTGTATTTTAACCGCATTGGCATAAAAATGAAATCCTATATCACGGGACAAATGTGAAATCTATCTATCTATCTATCTATCTATCTATCTATCTATCTATACTAGTCTGTTACTATCTATCTATACCAGTCTAGGTATCTCTATCTGTTCATATCTCAATCTGTTCATATGTATGTATGTATCTATCTATCTATCTATCTATCTATCTATCTATCTATCTATCTCAGTCTGTTTCTATGTATCTATCTAGCTAGCTAGGTATCTCAGTCTGTTCATATCTATCTATCTATCTATCTATCTATCTATCTATCTATCTTATTTTTTTCTAATCTATCTATCTATCTATCTCAGTCTGTTTCTATCTATCTATCTATCTATCTATCTATCTATCTATCTATCTATCTATCTAGCTAGCTAGCTAGCTAGCTAGCTAGGTATCTTAGTCTGTTCATATGTATATATGTATGTATGCATGTATGTATGTATGTATGTATCTATCTATCTATCTATCTATGACATACTTATCGCCACCTTTAGGGATTATCTGCTAATAACAAAACGTTAATGTTATTCCAAGACCAGTCTGCCGTATGTTGGTAAATTTGCAATGCAAAGAATGTTTTGATAAATATTTCCATACAAAGTGTGTCATTTCTAATCAAATGCTCTGAAATTTATAACATAATATGAAATTGTTGCCATTAATAATTATTAAGAAGCATTACAAGTTGTATTTGTATTGAGTGATAATTGTTAGTGATAAGGAAAAAGAATATCTCAGTCTGTTTCTATCTATCTATCTATCTATCTATCTATCTATCTATCTATCTATCTATCTACCAGAAAATTGAAAAAAAGACAAATTGCGTTAACGATAGTTTATTTGTTCAACAGCGTAAGATCATTAAAAATAAATATTAATCAGAAAATTAGTCATGTTCTAAAATAATCACGTCACATCTAGAATCTCATCTGCGTTTTGGGCATGACTTTAATCCCGTTCAGAAATGTCAAAAACATAATACTACCGTTTCCTCAGATCCCTGATCAAAAATGGCTTCAAGTAAATGAATTCGTTAGATCTTAAAGAAGCCAGTCCGTCATCAAACCATATGGACTAGCATTACAAAACCACAAAGAGCTGTACCAAATAACGAAAACCACATCACTTGAACTCGTCCAATAGCAATAGCAACAGCAACACAAACGTGTTGCTGTTGCTATTGGACGAGTTACATTGTTTAATTAGAAGGAAAAATAATTATATAAAAAAATTTCTACACTATGTTAAACAAAAGGCTTTAAAGGAAACTTCGATAAATACTGGGAAGAAAAAGAAGCTGAAAAAAAGAAAGTTTTAAGAAAAAAAGATTTAATAAATTTCAACCGACAAAAATATTCGGTCAATGAATGTTAACTATTTCCTGTATGAATACAGCTATTTTCACTTTACCATCTATCTATCTATCTATCTATCTATCTATCTATCTATCTATCTCAGTCTGTTTATATCTATCTATCTATCTATCTATCCATCTATCTAAATATCTATCTATCGATCTATTTTGCTTTGTAGCTAGCTATCTATCTATCATCTATCTATCTATCTATCTATCTATCTATCTATTCTCTAGCTATTATCTATCTATCTCAGTCTGTTCATAATGTATGTATGTATGTGTGTATGTATGTTCATGTCTATGTATCTTATGTTCATAATCTATCTATCTATCTATCTATCTATCTATCTATCTATCTATCTATCTATCTCAGTCTGTTCATATGTATGTATATCTATCTATCTATCTCATTTTGTCATATAATGTATATCTATCTCATTTTGTTCATAATCTATCTATCTCATTTTGTTCTATCTATCTATCATATCTATCTATCTATCTATCTATCTATCTATCTATCTATCTATCTATCTTATTTTGTTCATAATCTCTATCTATCTATCTATCTATCTATCTATCTATCTATCTATCTATCTATCTCAGTCTGTTCAAACGTGTTGTATGTATGTGTGTATGTTGGACGAGTTACATTGTTTAATTAGAAGGAAAAAAATAATTATATAAAAAAATCTCACTATGTTAAACAAAAAGGCTTCTCATTTTGTTCTTCTATAAATTTTGTTCAGAAAAAGAAGCTGAAAAATCTATTTCTATCTAAAAATATTTATCTATCTATTTCTATCTATCAAAATATTTTGTTCAATGAATGTTATCTATTTCCTCTATGAATACATCTATTTTCACCTTACCATCTATCTATCTATCTAGCTATCTATCTGTTCATATGTATGTATCTATCTGTCTATGTATGTATGTCTGTTTATATCTATCTGTCTATCTAGCTAGCTAGGTAGCTAGCTAGCCATCTCAGTCTGTTCATATGTATGTATGTATGTATATATCTATCTATCTCATTTTGTTCATAATCTATCTATCTATCTCATTTATGTTCATCTATCTATCTATCTATCTATTTTGTTCTATCTATCTATCTCATCTATCTCTCTATCTCATTTTGTTCATAAACTATCTATCTTATTTTGTCTATCTATCTATCTATCTATCTATCTATCTATCTATCTATCTATCTATCTCAGTCTGTCATATCTGTAGTTTGTTTCTATGTATCTATCTATCTATCTATTCAGCTAGCTAGCTAGCTAGATAGCTACCCATCTCAGTCTGTTCATATGTATGTATGTATCTATCTATCTCATTTTGTTCATAATCTATCTATCTCATTTTGTTCATAATCTATCTATCTATCTATCTATCTATCTATCTATCTATCTATCTATCTATCTATCTATCTATCTTATTTTGTTCATAATCTATCTATCTATCTATCTATCTATCTATCTATCTATCTAG